AATGCACATGCACATGCACAAGCCCATATCTACGGAAGAGGATTAGGGACGCTGAAAAAAAAAATGTTAACTGATTTTTACATTTTATTTTACGGTAGTTTAACATAGGAAAAAAGTCAGAATTCTGACTTTAATCTCAGAATTCTGAGATTAAACTCAGAATTCTGACTTTTTTCCCCATATTAAATTGAAATAAAATTTAAAAATCAGTTAACTTTTTTTTTTTTTCAGTGGCCCTAATCCTCTTCCATACATATCTCCTCGTGCACGCTGTTTAAAAGTTGTTGTTCTCATACCTCATACAAGCTTTACTGTGTCCAAACAAAAAGATAGCCATCGGGGACAAGCATGTAGGACGGCCTTACCTAAACATATCACCAGAATGATTGACAATTAGGAGGACCACTTATTTAGATGATCCACCTGGAAATAAAAGATCGTCCTCTATACCTTTAAGACTGGCTTAGTTACATTGATTTATACAGGCGTGTTGAGCCAGGCACAGATCTAAATGTTGCAGGAGACTGGGATTAAAGGACCATGTTTTGAATTCAGGGATGCGTTATTTAACTCGTAGTACAATGTAGAAAGGAGCAGTGTTTTTTTTTTTTTTTTTGGAGGATTATATTGCTACACAAACTGTAATGGCATTTGACTTGACATCCATACGTTAACTGATGACTCTCCCTCTGTTTCTGTCTGTCCTTCAGGCAGCACTATATGCATCTCCCTACAGATCAGACTTTCTTAAGGCCCTTTCAAAGGGAGAAGAAGTAAAAGAAGAGGACTGTATGGCAAACCTGCGTACCTTCCTGGTTAACTACACGGCCACTGTAGATGCCATCTACGAGATGTACACAAATCTAAACGCAGAGCTGGACTACACTGTTTGATGTAGGAGGATAAACCTAGACCAGAGGTTCAGGATGACTGATGACTCCCTCAGGGTGGAGCTAAATTCAAGCTCTTAGAGGTTCTTAAAATAGGGATGTTTTGGGTTTTTTGTTCTATTTATTACTGATTATGCCTTAATCGATATATTTTATGTATATTTGATCTTATAAAACGGCTTATGCCTTGAAATGAAAAGTAGAATGTGTAGGAAAGTGCTTTGTTGCAGGTTTAACTGCTGCTCTCTGTCGGATTTTGTAATTGTTTGTTTTTGCTGCCTTATTTATGAGATCACCGTGTGCCTTTAACTTTCTTCTACTATAACCAAAAACAGTGACATCAAAGAAGCATCACATTAAAGATGACAGGACTATTTTCCACTATTTATTTTTTGGCTTGATAAACGTCTGATTCTGTAATTCAATTACATTAAAACCCTGTTACATTTCACCTATGAAGATGTTGAATCCGTGTTGCAGTTTTTCTTTCCGTTGCCAACATTTCTGATCTAAGACAGCCTGTCATTGCTCACACATTTTAGAACCAATTAGATAAATATTTTATGAACAAACACCCAAAGGATAAAGTCTAGAAGCTAAATGGATAATTTCTATCTTGTAGTTTAAGAGTCCTCCACTAGATGGCAGAAAGTTCCTGATGTTTCTCTAGTCCTTTTATTAAACTCCCCATCTGACCTCTTTCACGTTTGCATATTTAAAGAGAACATATCTTTGCTATTTTGATGATGCTTGCAAAAAAAAAAAGTAGATGGATTTAATTTTAGTGAAGTAAAATCAGTATTCTTCATTCATCCTAATCCTCTTAACAAGCCAAGCTCTTCTCTGGCCCACTCTTTATTTATCTGAAGTGTGTTCCAGAGGTCTGGGAGCCTCTGGTTCCTCTCCCACAGGAGCCAGAGCTAATCGCCTCTGAGTAAGAGGAGCATGTCTGGTTTATCAGCAGCCTTGCACAACAGAATGGAAAAACTTCAAGCAAAGCTGGGGCACCACAAACTGGCCACTGCAAATTCATTTAATGAGGCTCCAGTGAGAGTTGGCTTTAAAGATATTTGTTGTCGGAGATAAGTTGAGCATGCATTCTTGTAGTATTTCCTCTTAGTGCTATAATGCCCCCATATTTTGGGTTTAGTACTTAAAATGTCATTGGATTTTATTTTCAAGATGAGCGAGTAGCATCAGTGTTGCAGCGTGCTGTCTAGGAAGACAGATGAAATAAATTGGGTGTAAAATATAATCATTTAAAAGTTTTACATTTTTTTTGTTGTAAAAGGATATCCATTTTATCCACAAAGCGTGTATGATGGGATACATTTTTAAAATGCTTTGCAAACCATTTGCAGGGGTTACAGTTAGACCTGTATGTAGACTGCTGACAGAAAAAATGTTTGCAAGAAAAAATCCTTTGAGTTTACCTCTAGTTTTTTAGACAGCGAATGTAATAGCCTCCATTTCCTTGAGCTTGGAAGGTTTCTTTTTATTCCTGTGGATCTTATGTAGATACTTTGAACGGTTTAATTACTGGATAGCGACTCTAAAAGTATTTACTATTCAATATTTGTGATTATGTTTTTACAGCCTCACTAAGGTTATTAACTTATTACAGAATTGAGTCAAATTTTGAAGTGTAGCATCTGGGCTTTTCAGTTCTATGTTTGCATTTCTAACTTCTAACTAAACTTCTTTTTAACTTTTTTAAATTTTTAGCTACTTCAGACTTTTAAGCACATCCATACATGGCAAATGTATGTATATATATATATGTGTGTGTGTGTGTGTATATATATATAGATATATGTGTGTATGTCTGTGTATATATATATATATATGTCTATATGTGTGTGTGTGTACATATATATATGTCTGTATGTGTGTGTTTATGTGTATGAATATATATAATTTAAGAACCTAAGTGGTAAATTAGTGGCCTACAGAACAGTTCATGGTTCTGAGAGTTCTAGTGGCTCCTGATTCTTCTTGTGGCCATCATCACCTTAGTTGATTCTCATGTCATGATGGTACATGTACATGGTCCTAATCACTTGGATGCTCTCTAAATCCCTGGAGGCCGCCTTAATCCTGAAGGCTTGGAGAATATTTACAGTTCCTAATGGACTCTACTTGTATGCCTTATTAAACTATTTATAAAATGTTGTGATGAAGGTCGACCTGATTTTTTTCCACGCTGAAGAAAGTGTACGGACTGATTGAAAGTGAAAACACAGCGATGATTAACCTAATCAGTTATTTGTGTAACTAAGCAAAGGCAGCAACAGGGAAGTGAATGATGTGGAAAACTAAGATACTGGTGAGTTTTTGATGGCTGCTAGAAACTAGGAGATTGGGGCTTTGGTTTGATGGGTTATGGTTATCAGGCTGATTACACGGTTCTGTGGGAAGGAGATATCTGATTAGGAATCATTGTTCAGTTCAAAAACACACAGAACAGGAAAAGACGAGTGATTTCAGAGATGGGTTAAAACGCTTGCATCCACCAGCGATCCTTGGCCTTTTTTTTTTTCTGGAGAGGACAAATGTCCTGAGGATCTACTCGACATATCGGAATCCCATTTACTGATCTTTCCCTTAAGCTGTGAAGTTGTTGCTTTGGATGAAGAGGGAAAAAGGTTCCTTAAAGGGGAATTCATGTTTCAAAGGAAATTTCCACTTTAAAAAAAAAATTTTTTTTTGTGAAATGTGGTCTCAGATATTTTTTTACTTCTCAGTAACCTTTAGTTTATCCAATGGTGAAACTGGACCTGCCGCTCCACTTGGACACCAATGCTGTGGTGCATAGTACAGCTGCTTGTTACTTGAACAAAGGCAGGTGGACGGAATTGTTGACCTCCATTATTCTTTAAAGACATGATTCTGCTTATTTGGCATAAAGCCATTGGACAGATACGATGAGGACGTTTGGTAAGATCTTAGAGGCGTGTAAGATCTTAGACACGTCTGATTCAGGTTGGTACCAGGCTTCTGCTGAGCAAAAGGAAATGTAAATTCAACAGGGTTAGAATAGAGATGCATCTAAAGGTTGCAGGATTGTAGCTCTAAAGGACCGGCAGGTACTTCAATAGAAGACACCGCCTCATCTTCCTGAGTAGAGTGCAATGTCATTTTATTATGGATTAAAATCCACTTAAAAAAACACTTTCAAAAGGGTAATTGCTGCACATTGTATTTTAGTTCTTTTGAGGTATGAGTGGTGCAATAACTTATTTTTTTTTTAAACCCATTGTTACTGTTGCAAAAGTTTTATGTAACTTGATCATGAAATACATTTTTTCCCCCACTTGTGATTGTATTTATTCAGTTTTAAAAACAAGTTTAATATCTAATATTTGAAAGAAACATTTTTTATACCTTAAAATTAATAGAGCAGTAATTATTTGCTGTCCTATGATGCCTTCAGCTTTGACCGTGGGTCAGAATTTAACAGAACAGCTGTTAAGTGCTTTGGGTAAGTATTCAATTGCATAAAATTTTTAGATTTGGGATTCTTTACCCAATATATTGTTTATAAAACATGAAATGGATAATGCTCAGTGGTTAAGCTTTAAATCCACAGGTTTTTAATCCTAAATAGGACTTTAAGCATGACATACATCTACATGACATAATAACCTGTTAGGGTTTTTAAAAATTTATTTACTTGACAATCCTCCTTAAGAAGAGACAAAAAGGGTGTTTGATTAGGGTGATACATTTCAAAAAGTAGTTATTTCATCAACATAATTCATGAAGATAACTCACATGTCCATATATAGTAATTGCACTTTATATTTATAAAGACAGTTTGCCATAACCCACCAAGTGGACAGAAATAAATAGTCTCACAAAACTGTTGCAGACAGATGAAATACTTCTCACTCATACATTTTAAGCCATTGGAGATATTATAGCCCTGCAAAGAAGAAAACAGGAAATGATTCAGGCAGCCTACAGTCAAACAGTTCCGCATGGGAAACAGTCGTATGGTCTTAAGGAGAAAGAAAAATGTTCATTCCAAAGATTTGCTTTTAAATCAGTTTTAAAAAAATCCCTCCAAAGGGTGCATCTGTCTGAGCCTGAATTCAACATTGCTGATTGAAATAACACATTTCCATAAAACATAAAAGAGGCAAAACATTTGTTGCTCAAAAAAAAAAAAAAAACATACAATGCTTTTAAGCAACATTTCTCCATGAAAGCATTGCTAGCTGTTTTCATAGTGAAAAAACACTTGATTACTTCAGAGGGTTTGATGGCAGGGCAGAGCAGTTTCCCCCAAAAAATAACCACAACTTTTAACAAGTTAAAAACATAAAATATTCTGACAAAACAGTGAGAGATCCTGGAATTACTTCCTTTTTCAAATCGGTGCCCCTAATTATTACCTCAGCCAAGGAGGTTATGTTTTTAGTCAAGTTTTTTTCTCTGTCCGTCTGTGTATATAGGATAACTTAAAGTTATGTATGAACTTTAACTAAATTCTTACACCTCAGTCCAAGTAACAATCCATTAAATTTTGATGATGATCCACATCATAATCCAGATGGATTCTTTAACGTTATTTAGCAGAACAAGCAGTTCCTCCCTAAACCAGAGGGTGGCAGCAGTGACTATTGACAGCTTCAACATCGGACTCAAAAAAGTCCAGAATTATATTGAAGACGGAAACACAGGAAAGACTCAAAGTCAAAGTCTACTGATCAAACAAGAAAGCAGAGGGAATGAAAAAGGTGAGAGCGGAACGTTTGGTAATGATCCAGATTATTTGTGAGGTTTAGCCTTAGGTGTAGGTTACAATGGAGTAAAATTAGGTGATTGGCGGGACTCTACGCTCTCAGATTGCTTTTCTAGTATTTGTAAAGGCAAATAAAAAATGTGAAGCTTTATTGTTAAATCAACGGAAGCCAAAAATAGAAGAATCTGTAGAGTAAACCTGTGAAACACACAGCCTTCTACAAATACATGCACAACTAAAAAGGCTTGCGTATTTATTGAATGTTCCAGAGCACCCCTTTATATGTAGACGGGGAGCTGCATGTCCTGTTGATGCTCCAGCAGATGAGGCATCCCCACCATGGCTTCGTACCCGTGGCCCAGCATGCGCTCTTTGATGCAGGGAGGCTGAATCTCACTGATGAGGCACTCCAGAGACTGCAGGCTGCTGCTGAGCACTGCAGTGTGGCACAGGCTGAAAGCCGGTAGCCCACAGGAGAGGTTGTGCTCTGCGCTGTAGGCTTGAGCCTGATGATGAAGATGATGGTAGTGTTGATTAGGATGATGGGGAGGGACAGGTGGATGGAGCTGGTTTGGTTGATGGCAGTTTGGGTGAAGATGAGGATGGGACACCTCCACATGTCTGGGCTTGGATGCACAAGTAGTCGTTCCCAACACCTGAGAGGAGTAAACATCGCTGCTCCGGTTGTCCCAGAGGGGAGCGAAGTACTGTTTGATAGCCTGCTCTTTCTGCACGACAGCACCAACATTTCCAAGGTTCTGCCTGTAAGGCAGCTGTGATGAGCCCGGTAAAGGGAGGCAGGTTTCAGGAGACCCGACCCCGGCCTCTGCTGTTCTGCAGGTCTGAGTTCCATTACTCATACCGTACATCCTCAACGCTTCCTGCTGATAGGGCTGCCACATCGTGTAGTCTTCCCTCTCAAAGTATCCAGTTTTGGTCACGTCTGCATGCTGTGTAGGTAGAACTGCTCCTGGAAAGGCCCGGCTGCTCTGAGGCGGCACTCCAAAGACCAAGCCTGATCCTGAATGCGCCACTGCAGCTACAGCCTGCAGCGAGGGGCTGAACTGAGCCACCCCCCCCAGCTGCGGGACCTGGCTGTGAGGAACTCTGCTCATCCGCCTCATCAGGCTTTGAACCTCTGCCAGCTCCGGCTGGGAGGCCAGGCTCTGATCTTTGGAGGCCATTCCTGCAGTAGAACAAAGTGCTTCAACAGGTAAATCTGTGGGCTTACATGAACCCGTGTTATAGGCCTCATGCCCGTGTCTGACTGTGCAGCTATTATTCAGGGGATTGTTATATGGTGCCGTCTGAGAGTTATTATGTTTAGTCCTCCTGCCCTCAGAATTTTTCACAACACCTTTGACCGCCACTGAGGCTTTGACGATGGCCAACAAGCCCTGGTAGCCTCCTGAGTTAGGCTGGCAGTAGGGACTGTAACGATGTCCGGTGGTGTCCAAGCCATTCACAGTTTTGTTAAGCTGCTTGTGTTGTGGCACCCGTACGTCAGATGGAAAGATTTTTATGGAGAGCGGGCTGTTGGCGGTTTTCTGAGCAAAAGCATCCAACTCTGCAGGAGACGGGTACCGAGAGATCCTGGTGCCAGGCTCTCCTGGAAAACAGGCAAAGAGAAAAGGTGATTAGAACACATGGATCTGAGAGGAGACCTCTTCTTCTTTCCTTTGGCAGTCTTACCCGTCTCCCACACTATAAAGCAAAGCTATGAACCAACTTCAATCAGGAACAGGCCTTTGGGATAATTTTAAACCAAAATTAATGATATTAATTAAGACTTTAACACTGAGTAATTAACTTGCAGAAAATCTTAAAGTAGAGAGAATAATTTATTGCTAAACATGTTTCTAATTCCCTTTTTTAACAACTAGTCAGAACTGAATAAAATCAAAGTGCTCAGTTTTTGTTTAAAAACGGACGACACGTTTTTTTTAACACACAAGTACAGCTGGTGATTCTTGTGCTGCCTCAAGAGGAAACCTCGGTATCTACAGTTATTGAGGGGCCAAATAAGCTATATTGTTGAGCCAAAAAGCACAGACAGGCAAAAAGATCCTTTTCAATCTCTAATTTATGCACATTGATCTTTAAACAGATACTCCTCAGAGGGGAAGTACAATTCAAACCGATCTCCAGTAAGAAAATGGAAAGCAAAAGCTGGAGGTTTAGTTTTTTCCCCCACTAAGGCTGGAGGTTTAATCTAGAAACCTCCCTTATGATGTTAGAGTTGCGGTTTATAAAAACCATAAGGATGCATTGAATGACAAGGCTTATTACTGTTAATAATAGATGCAAGTTCTAATGTTCCTGGATTTTAAGAATAAAAAGCATGAAAGAAACATGCTCAATATGAGAGGTTATACATGTATGAAAGTGTGGGGATGATTTAATAAGATATTAACTGCCAGAAGTGCAATCTATTACAGCAGCTGTCATGTGGTTAACACATGGCAGTCATATTGGATTCATCTTTAAACTGTGATTCAGAGAAACTAGTTTCTTCATTTCTCAGAAGTTCTTTAATTGAGATGTGCTGTTCTTCATTCTGTTTTTTTTGTGTGTGATAAACAACAAACTAGCTCTACTTTATGTCCTGGAAGAAACGTTACTGCGGAGAAACTGTTAAAAGTTTTTGAGAATGTATTGCTTCCCTTTAAAACCAGATATGTTGTTTTAATGGGTCAAAAAGATAGAAGGAGAACACAGCCTATTTGGTGCACTAGATTTGCCAATCAAACGCAGCTGTTTGAAGACATCACTTTGGGAACAAATTACTTTATGAAATCAAGAACATTCAATACTCCACCAATAAGTTAAACTACTTCAATAAATACATCAAATACATAGAATCCAGTGTTTTTTCAAGCCTATAACTTTTGTTATTTATGATGCTTTACAACTTAAAGCTAATGAAAACAAAATTTGAGAATAGCTTATTCCCTTAGATAAATATTAATAACATAAAACGGACAACAGGTGGAGTTTAGATTCTGTAACTTTGCTGACACTTTAAGTATTTAAACTTCACAGCCTTCTAAGAAATAATGAAAACTGAATATTTAATAAAACAAACATTTTAATTAGGAATTTCTAAAAAAAAACAACAACAAAAAAACAGTCTTTCCTTAGTTTAATTATGCTGTTTCGAACTGAAAGATAAAAAGCATTTTTTAAGGTTTTTGATGATTGAAACATGCAGGAAAGCACACAGAACAAACTAAAATTGATTTTAAACACTATTATATGGGCTTATTATTTCTAGCTGCTTAACTCCTGTTGTCAAAAGGCAAGGGGGGAAAAAAAAAGCCTCGTTTAAAAAACAAAACAATAAATCATCAAGAGGAAATTACTGCCGCCTTTCAGATTGATGCTTTTATGGAAAATCTGACGGGGTAGAGAAAAGACTCTGAAATGAACCTAGATCACACCAGCGTGAGTCTGTGGAAATCTCAGCATGTAAAGAGAACAAAGCTGTAATCTGCAATAAGACAGAAAAGATAAAAAAACAACAAACACTTTGTTTCATTTTAATAACAAAACCAATTCCAGCTATGCAGGGGTGGTGCTTGCTCACTGTTCCCATTTGAAATTGATTTGGGAGTTCATTTCATCTCAGTCCTACAGTGAGCCTCCCGACTGTGAAAATGACTCAATCTACAAGATCCACCTCATGAAAGGAATAAATTGGGTGTTTAAAATGCAGAGGAGAAAAAAAAGGTAAGGCAGAGTGTTCAATCCAACCAACGGCCTCCCAGCGGAGCAGAGGGAAGGAGCACCATGGTGCCAAGAGCACGAATGAATTCTGCAGAGAATTACAACAAAGCAAAAACAGGCCTTATTATTTTTCGACGTAGTGCTGCTATAGAAAACAATGACATCTGGGATGTTGAAGAGGTGTTTGTACTGTACACATCAAGATGTGAGCTCACTCCACTCCAGTTTTCCCATAATCCTGCATGTGAAGCAGGAGGCATGACCAAAATGCCAGCTGTAATAATAATTCCTAACATTTATTCGCTACCAGAAAAGATAAGAGGAAGAGAATCATTGCCACCTTAAGGAGCTTAGATTACTAAAAGAAATGACACAGTTAAAAGTGTAATAACTTCTCTCATCACTGAGCACCTGGATTAATACAATTTCTCCTCCACGGATAATAATACAAAGGAATAAGCTATTGATAATTTAGCAAAACAAATCTAAACCCGATGTTTTTTCCTTTTTCTCATCGTGTAGAATGTGAAGTGTTGAGGCCTGCGACCGGCTGCTCCGCACTTCAAACGCAGCGAATGCTAACACGTCTTCACAGGATGTCTGATATTGTTAGTCCCACAGATTACAGCCCTGTCAGAGCTTAGGAGACACAACACAGCTGCACTTCCCACTGCGGCTGCCTTAATGTGGCACGGTGGAAACCTCATTAACAAACAGGCACTCTGAATTCACATTCATCATCTGAGCAACACCGCTGTGTGACATATGCATGGGAATAAGGGATCAGTTTAGGGTTTTTTTTTACTGACAGAAACCCAACCACTGCTTTGTGTGGGGTTACATGAGATCAGCATGATCGGTATTAAATGACTCTAATCTACAGCTGGAGGTTAAAGGTTTCTATCTCGGGGAGATTCATTGCAATCAATGGTGTTGAATGGCAGCAAACAGCAGCAACAAGGATGTAAATGGAGGATCTTAATACGGTCTTGATGTAATAAAAGCATGTCCTGAAGTCTTTCTTATCCTCATTTGCTCATTTTAGAAGGTTTTTCTTGCCACACAGCCTAGTTTAATGCTCAATAATGACAATCTGGCACTGTGATAACTCGTGTTTCACCCTGTAGCAGACAGCTAGACAAAAGCCGCCTGCGAAGAAGATGCCGTCTCAACCAAATGCTAAACATAAAGCCCAATAAATATCAGCCAAGATGGACAAAGTGTGACAGGAATGGCTCTCTGCAGAGGTAATGTGAACACGACACAATCAGGTTTTAGGATCTATTTACAAAGATGAACAAACTGGAAAAAACATTTTAAAGCTGAAAGCCACTGTTTTATTCAATTATGTTATCTATATATAAAAAAGGTGTTAAAATGTTTGAAATGGTTGAAAAACAGAACATGGCAGACCTTGTTTTTTTGGCCTCAACTCAAACAGGCAGATGTTATTAAACAAGAAATAAGAAAGAAATTGCCTCCTTACAAAAATGTGCAACTCTTTGATTCAGAACCCTTGAAAAGAAAGCTTTAGCAGATTCTGTTCTACATTTTACTGATGGTATCTGTTTTTCAAATTCTTCATAACAAAAATGGGACAAAATAAATCAGGAACTTGATGCATTTATGCATCTAGATTTGCTGAAGACGGTGTGCTGGGATGGGAAGATAGTTATTTCAAGGCAGGCTGGTCTGAGTATAACGCAACCTGTTGATCTATCTGGATATCCATCACATACATTCTCAAAATTACAAAGTAATTTCTAAGAAAAAATGAAATATCAAATGAAATCAACAGTTAAGGCTGTTGGTTGTAGTTTCATGGTATGAGAGACAATGTCTTACCAAAGTTTGAGTCCTTTATTGCAATGATTGATATGGTGCAGCTATATTCTTATTCATACAAAACTTATAGTAACCACAAAATGTGCAACCTTTCACCTGTAGAGATCTATTATTTCTCTACCTAACACTATTAGCTGCTGTTGGACAGCAAGAGCTGTTCATCAGTGAACAACTCTAGAATCATTTTAGTTAAAATGGTTGCCTTAAAACAATTGTTTTGTAATTGTTTTGGTGAGTTTATCAGCCAGTGTATGGTTCTGACCTTAACTTTGGAAAATTTAGCCAGGTTGATTTTCAACTAGAATGTTTCCAGTGTTAAACCAATGTTTACTTAGCAGCTATTTCTGTCTTCACCTGCAAAGCAGCTGTTGTAAGACAGTAAACCAGTTCTATCTTAACACCAAGGTCTTCTTTGCCACAAATAAGTACTATCTTCACAAAGCAGTAAGGGCTGGTTAATGAGAAACTGAAGATTAGAAAGTTAAAACCATAAAGAAACCAAACGTTTGTTTAATTTTTAAGCGAGAACCCAAGTGAATTAACCTTTAAAGAAGTTAAAAATGGATAAAAACGAGCTAACCATCTGTTGATGATGATGTTTGTGTAAATATTGACCATCACAGGCTGAAAGTACTTCTGTGCACCAGCCACAACTGCTGTGTTTCATCACTTCCTTCACAAACCCTGTCAGCTCTTTGATATCACCAGCTGGTGTTTTTGCATCTGCAAGAAAAACGCATTTAAATCTGATTAGCTTGGGGCCTTCTAAATTCTTGTCTGTATTGGACATTACAACAGTTGGGAGGCAGGAATGAGACTAATATAGTGGTTTGTGTAGACGGATTGTCCATGTATTGTTCCATCCATCCATTATCTGACACGCTTGTCCCAATTGGGGTCACAAGCGGTGCTGTTGCCTATCTGCAGCTGTCTGCAGGTGAGAGGCGGGGTATGCCCTGGACAGGTCACCAGTCCATCACAGGGCAACACAGAGACAAACAGGACATACAACCATTCACTCACACCTAAGGAGAATCT